TGCAGGCCGGGCGCTTTCCTTGAGTCCCCATGCTGGACGTAGATGGTGTGAAATGGGCCTTTTCAGCTCTGCTCGGTGATCTTCCGAGAGAATTTAAAAGATAATTTACTGGCGTGACTTCCAAAGCGTTGTCAGTGGTGTCCAGTCAAAGCAAGACACTTCCATATTTGTTGGGTAGATGTTTCTGGCTTTGCGATGTTTTGGCCGTTTGTTTAGTGTTGTGGGCCTTTTTGTTGTACGGATGGCTTTTATCTAAACATGAGGAAGAACTTCACTGTGAGGGTGACAGAGCACTGGCACCAGCTGCCCAGGGAGGTTGTGGACTCTCCTTCTCTGGAGACATTCAAAACCCACCTGGATGCGTTCCTGTGTGACCTACTGTAGGTGATGCTGCTCTGGCAGGGGACTGGACTAGATGGTCTCTAGATGTCCCTTCCAGCTCCGACTGTTCTGTGGTTCACAATAACTGTATCTAGCTGTTGATACTGCTTGGCAGTAAAGGCCAATGGAATTCGGAAAAAAATAAATATGTGGGGAAAAAAATAGACAGACCAAGGAAGCTGTTATGTTTGGTTTACTGTCAAAAATAACCCAAGACAGTCCTTGTATCGTGGTTTTCTGGAGTTAGAGAGGTTTAAAAGATAGATTTAAAACATTACCTTTTATGTCTCCTTCTGGCTCACTGTTTTTGGTAGGATTTGAAGTTTTGGGGAGATTGGGTGTGCTGAAGTCTTTTATTTCCTTTTTTTTAATTTAATCCAGGGTGTTTTCCACCCCCCAGCATAGAAGGTACATATGCCTTTGTTGGTACAGATGTGGTGTGGCTGAGAGGATTGTTGCAGTTTTTTAGATGCTTTGATATAGGTCTTGGAAATCACCTACTGTGGTTAATGTTGGTATGGTAAGGTGTTTTGCTGCCTGACTTGGGCCAACTGAGTTAGGGCTGTCAGTAGCTAACGGAGCCTTCAAAGTGGAATTCAGAATTGACTAAGGTTTTGAATTGCCCTCCGAAGGCTCCCTTGGTGAATCAGGAGCCCCTATGCAGCTTCTGTAATTCAGGCAAGCTACTTGGCTTCCTCACAATGGAGTGAACACCTCACTGAGTATTCAGGGATTTCTAGAAAATGCTAGGCTTATTTACAGAGTGCTAGTTTTAAAAAATAAATAAATCTTATTCTGTGCAAACGTTAATAATTGCAGGTAATAACCTGGTAATTATCATCAGGTGCTCAAAGTATCCTTCTGTGGTTTTTCTGTTTGGTTGGTTTTTCTTTGTGTTGGGGTTTTTATGGCTTTTTGTCAATCCTATAAACACAACAAGGATGCTAGGTATATACAGCAGTGAGAAGCAATCAGATCATAAATATTGTAAAGCATGGTTATTTCTCTCTCTCTCTATTAAGACATATGGACTCATGTTGGGATTCAACAAAGATGTGTTAAAATAAAAATTAACTTATGCTTATTGACAGATAAGAACTTGTACTCCTGCCTATTTATTTGGGTATTTATAATATTACCTCCTCCAAAAAAAAAACCCTTACCAACTTTAGGGCAAAATCCTCTTTCCTTTCATTCATTCTGCTTTTTTTTACTGTCCATCATAAAGGTGTAGTACCATTACTGCTAAATTTCATTTCTTTTGTTTTACACTTCTTGCCAAAGGATCACCATGATCCAAAATAAATGGAAGTTGTATTGAGTTGTATGCAGCTGGCCTGAAGCGGTTCTCTCTTCTTCATACCTTTTCTTCTTTCCTGTCTGCATTTTCCAAATCACCCACAGATTTATGAATGGATATTGACCTTCAAATTTTGTAAGATTATAAAGTAGTTCCAAATGAAGTTTGTTCTTGGCCATTGCTGCATGCATCGTGATCTAGGGATTACATGATATTATTGTATGTTCTGTTAACGTAATAGCACAGTATGGACTGGAGAAGGAATTGCAGCATGTGTTTTCATTTCAGTGTTGTAGAAAAGGCTATTTGTAAGTAGCATTTTCGAGGATATTTAATTCAGGAGACTGGGTTTTCTCTAAACAAACCTATAGAGATCACTCAATGTATTCTGCCTTTGAAAGTCAGGTGAAGTGGTGTGATAATGAGAATTATCGGTTTCTTGGGAGTGGACAAACGTGCTGGGGAAATTGAGTGCTGAAATTGTGGGTAAATGTTATCAGTTTAATGTAGTTTATTTCAGTGAGAATATAGACACTTTTGTTTTTTTTTCTTTTCCAGATTACAGCAAAAGCAGCTGTCATTTTTGTTACACTTCAGTATAATGTTACCATTCCTGTCACAGGTATGTATCTTGCAGGAGATTAATTATGAGACAGTGTATTCAGCCATTATTAGTATGCTGTAGTTTCTAGAGTGAGGGTAAGCGAATTTGGCAGTTTGGGTAGACAGTAAGCAATTTTCAAGGATTTCACCATATTTCTAGTAAAACTCTGTTTTAATTAATTGGGTTAGGGATGATATTTCTGTTCTGCTGGTTTCATCATTAGTGCTAAAACGCCATCAGACTGGTAGCTAAGTTCACATCATCAGTTCTTACCCTGGCTTTGCAAGGGACAATCTTCACTAGTCAAAACAGGGTAATAGTTTAACATACTTTTGTTGTCCCCTATCAATACATTTAGGTAAGCTTCGAAGTGCATATAAGTTTTTATTTTAATAGTACATCTTTACAGAATCAAGCTCAGTTGGTGCTGTGATGGAAAAGATGGCTGTAAGCAATCTAGTGACCTAGCTCATGGTGGCAGGTTAATTTGACTTCTGTTTGTTCAACCAATTGCAAACTGCTATCTGAAAGATTTCAGTTTAAGAAACAGATTTACTAGCTGTTAGACTGTACTGCTGCCTAACAGTTAATTCTCTTTATTTTTTTTAGATGAACAATCTGCAGAAACAATCTCTCTGTATCACTATGGCATCAAAGACTTGGCTACAATTTTCTTTTACATGCTCGTAGCAATAATCGTACATGCTATAATTCAGGAGTATGTACTGGATGTAAGTACAAAATATTAATGCCTTTCATCAAGATAATTGTCAGGTTTTAATTAGACTTCAAGACTATTTACTTAAAAGTAAAATTGCATTAAAGCTTTTGACTGTTAAAACATGCATTGACACTTTCAGATGTTCTAATGCAGTTAACAAGTAAATGTCGAGTACTACAGCATATAAATAACAATGGACTTTCATTTCAGAAAATTAACAGGAAAATGCACTTTTCAAAAACAAAGCATAGCAAGTTCAATGAGTCTGGGCAACTTAGTGCATTCTACCTTTTCTCCTGTGTTTGGGGAACAAGTATTCTTGTCTCTGTAAGTATGCTTTCGCTTCTGTTTGCATTACGAGATTTCAAAAAGTTATGGTGGGAATTATATTTTGGCTTATTGTTCTGATTTTAACTGGTTTTAATATTAAGTGGGGACAAGTTTAGGCATTCTGTGTAGGTTGTAGTCATAACTATAAAGTCTAATAGAGTTGCTGTTGCTCAGTCTGAGTTGATTTATTATCAACTGAATAAGGGCAAACTTTTTGACTTTGCATTCTCTGTGGTTTTTTGTGTTGGCTTATTAGCATGAAATAAGTGTTTTTTAAAAAAAAAGCATTGTATAAAGCTTAGAGAAAGGATGTATGGACGTGTAGATGTGGTGCTTAGAGACATGGTTTAGTGGTGGTCCTGGCAAGTACTTGGTTGACAGTTGGACTCGATGATCTTAAAGGTCTTTTCCAACCTAAACGATTCTGTGACAGATTGCAGTAGGCTCAGGTGAGTGCATGCTTTCAGGGGACATGAAATTCAAAAAAGGGAAAGGATGTGATTCTTTTTTTTTTTTTTTTTTTTCCTTAACATAGTGACTCCTGGAAAAGCTTGCCTTCCCTTAGTTAAGCTAAAAGCTTTCATCAGCAGTTTATAAGGGAAGACTTATGGCTCTAGTGATGCTGAAATAACCTCCATACCATAAGGGCACTCTATCCTGAATGAATGCTTCATGAATGCTTCGTTTGATTGCTTTTTATTTGTCTAAGCCAATGCAGCTGTGTTTTGGTGGGGTTTTGTTTTGCTTTGGGGTTGTTTTCTCTTTGTTTTTTTTTTATTTTGGAAAAGGAAATACACTGATTTGCAGCTTCTACGTGTGTGTCTAGATGTGTGTGTGTTTGTATGTACGCACGTGCATATACGTAAATACATACATGTATATATGTTCATTATTTCTGACTAGGAAGTAGCATCTTTGAGGGTTTATTTGGTTATTTTGTTTATTTTTTTAGGAGAACTATATATCAGATCCAACCTCTCTGTGGAGGGACTATCCGCACACTCTGATTCCGTAAGGCCTCTTCCTTAGAGGATTGTTGGGGAGAGGAGGGAGTGTTTTAAACTTAGGCGTCACATGCAATCTGTGTAAAATAAGTAGTATGTAAAACTATATTAGTCAATAATGTGTTTTGCTCATATTTATGGAGGAGGTTGATTCTCTGTCATTCTGTAGCATACAGTTCTATTTCTGAAGTTTATTATTTAAAGAACCAAGTTTTTTCAAGCCTTATTTATTTATCTTAATGATTTTGTTTATAAAACTTACTTTTGAGTTGGCTGGCAGGAAGGATCTTTTTTTTTTTCTTCTGTAGAGACAGTGATTAAATGTGCTCACTAGAAAGCTTCTGAAATATTTTAAGTTCATTAATAACAAGTAATATTTTTCAATTTTTACTATATTGTGCAGGTTTCAAATGAAGTTTTTCTACATCTTACAGTTGGCATACTGGTTTCATGCTTTTCCAGAATTGTATTTCCAGAAAACTAAAAAAGTAAGTTGGTAATGTAAATGGAAAGAACTCCAAAGCAGGCAACTCGAACACTGGAATAGTTAATTTCTTTTTGGACTTCCAGAGTAATGTGTTATCCTAGATTTCCTACCCTATTTTTGTGTTACCCCATTTTCTGATGGAATTTTGAGCACTCAAATGTCCACGTGAGAAGGTAGGGTTTTTTCTTTTTGGTTAAATCTTCTATTTCTCATTACAATAAAATTGCTATATATCTATGTAAATAAAAATTACTAATGTTTCTCATCTACTAAGAGATTTTTCCCTTGGGCAAATAAATGTGAGATTTTGTTTTCAGTCCTTTTTTGTTTCTTGTAATTAATAGTCTGAATAGTCTCTTTGAAATCTTGGTTGCTTCATGAATCATAACACACATGTAGAATGCAAGCAGTTAATAATTTCATAAATTCAGGGAATATTCTGGAATTAATTTAAATAGTGGGGTTTTTTCAGCAGAAGTTCTGGGTAGTTATGTCTTGAGATTTTTTTTCCCAACATTCAATTTTAACAGCATCCTTTTCCACCTAAGGGTTTTCTCTGCTGAGGTTCTCAAAACTCCAAGTTTACTTAGATTTGTAACACGCTTTCTGCCTTCCTGGATCAATTCAAGTAGTCTCTTTGCATGGTTTTGCTCAGGCTCATTTTGCATATGCAGTTTCCTTTTTAAACTTTTCTATTTTAAGCTCTGCAACGTGGCTTCCCCAAGGGCAAATCATTCTTGACTAATTTAGTGGTCTTCTACCACAGAGTGACTGTATCAGTGGATGAGGGAAGAGCTACTGATGTCATTTACCTGAACTTTGTTAAGGCTTTTGATATGGTCCCCCATAGCATTCTTACCTCTAAACTGGGGAGAGATGGATGTGATGGATGGACTGTTAAATGAATAAAGAACTGACTGGATGGCTGCTTCCAGAGAGTTACAATCAGTGGCTGAACATCCAGGTGGAAACCAGTGACGAGTAGCGTTCTTCAAGGGTCTGTACTGGGACCAGTGCTATCAATGACATATAGTGGGATCGAGTGCACCCTCAGCAAGTGAGTGGTGCAGTTGATTTTATTGAGGAGAATGGTGCAATCTAGAGAGAACCTGACAGGCTTGAGGAGTGAGCCATGTAAATCTTGAAGTTCTACAAGGTCCTGCACCAGCATCATGGGAATCCCCAAAATTAATACAGGCTGAGGAGAAATGGATTGAGAGCAGCCCTGCAGAGAAGGACATGGGGTTACTGGGAGCTGAAAAATTGGGTATGAGCCAGCAGTGTGTGCTTGTAGCCCAGAAGGCTAACTGTATCATGGGATGTCTAAAAAGAAGAGTGGCCAGCAAGTTGAGAGAGGTGATTTTGCCGCTCTACTCTGCTGTGGTGAGACCCCACCTGCAGTACTGCATTCAGCTCTGAGGTCCCCAGCTCAAGAAGGACATGGGTGGGTTGGAGCAGGTCCAGAGGAGGGCTGCGGAAATGATCAGAAGGATGGAACATCGCTCCTGTGAAGAAAGGATTAAAGAGTTGGGGTAGTTCAGCCTGGAGACAAGAAGGCTCTGGGGAAACCTTATTGTGCCCTCTCAGTATTCAAAGGGGGATTATAAGAAAGGTGGAGAAAGACTTTTTATCAGGGCCAGTAGTGACAGAACAAGGGGTGATGATGATTTTAATCTGAAAGAGGGTAGGTTTAGATTAGATATTAGGAAGAAATTCTTTACTGTGAGGGTGGTGAGACACTGAGGAAGACCACTCCCTGCAAGTGTTCCAGGTCAGGTTGGATGGAGCTTTGAGCAGCCTGCTCTAATGAAAGACGTCCTTGCCAATCACAGAGGGGTTGGACTAGAAGATCTATAAAGGTCCAGTCTAATGCAAACTGTGCTGTGACTCTGTTGTTGCTCTGTGGCTAGACTGCATCTCTGATGTCGGAATTCTGCGTTATACAAGAAAACGAAACCTATATTTTACGTAACTGTTGGCCTTTGTTCAAGAGCCTAAAAGAGGCTTGGGAAAGTAATAATGAGATGCTTTGTTTTCATGCTGATCAGATGGAATATGAACACTGCAGTTACACTGCAGCTGATCTCCCCATATTGCTAGTGATACCTCTCAAATTTGACTTCATAGCCAAGGGTCGAGGTGTTTTTTTAACATAACTTCAAGAAGTTGTGTGACCTACTGTAGGTGATCCTGCTTTGGCAGGAGGATTGGACTAGATGATCTTTCGAGGTCCCTTCCAACCCCTGACATTCTGCGATTCTGTGAAAGCTGTCAAAAGTGGTTGAATAGTAGTGTTTTACTGGGTCGCTGGAATTTTGGCCTTTGACTTTGTTGTTTTAGCAAATTCATAGCTGATATTTCTCACTGGTTTAACCTCTACTGTCTTGACTTCACTGCTTTATTCCTTCTCTTGAAGGAGCTGGCTTCATTTACTCAGGTCTGCTTGTCTGTTCTGCTGATGCAGACAAGAAAAGCAAAGTTCTTAACTGGGCTTTCTGTGTAGTGATGTGTGCCACCACCTGCTTTATTCTAGTAGGCCTTCAGTCTCTTGAGAGTTTGTCTAAGCAGAAAGCATGGGCTGTTTAAATGTTACCTCAGTTCTGAAGATAAAATGCAACAGGCTTGTCCTGGTGGCACTTGGAGAAACTGAGCATTTGTACTGGCTATTCTCTTGTTTGTCTGAAAGAATTATTTCCTTTATTTTCTTTCAGATCATTTAGATTAGATCCTTCTGTATCTGTTTTCTTGCTCTTTGTGTATGTGTGTGGTGTTTGCTGTTGTCACAAGTGTTTGGTTCTGTGCTTCTGTTGACTTTCAGCTAGAGCAGTGCATAACATAGCATAGGTCTTAAAAGATTAAATTATTAGGCCTTTTTTTAAAACAAAAAAAATTGCATGAATACAAGATAGCACTGAACCCCCTTGCTTGAAGTTTAGAGATTCTATCCAAAAGGCAGGTGTTTCTTAAGCACAACTAAAAGTACTCTGCATACCACTTCAAGACAGATTTTTATTGTGATCTAGCACACTTTAGTGATTCTTTGGCTTTCATATGACCTCTGCTTTCTGTGTGCTGTGCATCTATAACCCTTGATTTCATGTCCGTCCTTCTTTATTATTTTTGTCTCCGTTAAGTGTTCAGTTTGATGAGGCTGGCTAAAACCTAACTTGAAGGGTGACCATGTGGTTAATAACGTTATTTTCTGCATTTGCCAGCAACAGTGTGCTGGAATCTTGGATGATCTTGAATTTTTAAAATAGAAAAGGTTTCCAAGTGTTGACATTTATTTGGTTCATACACTACTATTTCTGTCGCAATTTGACAGAATCTGATGGACAGCAAACATGCAGAACAGTAGGAAGTTACCTGATATATTGTACAGTAGTACATACCAAATAACTATTGTAATAGCCAGTACAAATGCACGGTAGTCATAGCAAATAAAAATGGGCCCTTTTAGAAAGCATCTTTTAGATGTTTGATGTGTTTTCTCACTGTAGATTATGTGTAAAATGTTAATTGGTAAGTAAGCAATGACTTATATGTGGAGTTAGATAATCTAGGCTGAGTAAGTCAGTGCCAGAACAGGACACATTAAGGTAGCTGATAAACCAGTAAGAATTTCCAAGACTAGGGAGTAGTTTGGAACAATATATAACATTGTACAATAATGTGTGTAATACTGTGTGTAACACATAATTACTTTTTTTCTTCCTGATAGGAAGATATCTTTCGCCAGATTGTCTACATTGGACTTTATCTCTTTCATATTGCTGGAGCCTATCTCCTGAAGTAAGTCACTTGTAAACTTTTGCTGGCTTCATTCTCTGTCAAACATCTAACAAAATATCTGAATGTTTGTTTTATTTGTTATGATAGACTGACCCATCTTGGACTTGTTCTGCTGGTATTGCATTACTTTGTTGAATTTCTTTTCCACATATCACGTCTTTTCTACTTCAGCGATGAAAGATATCAGAAAGGGTAAGTAGTCTTTATCTTTTAAATTGATATAATGTCTGTCTCAAAGCCTTGTGCATTTAACTAACCAGAAACCAAATTTAGAAGGAAATTCATACAGTGTTTCCTTAGAGGCCTTAAATCTACAGACTATTGTCACTGTTTATATCTCTGAAACAACTATTTTATTACTTTATTTTTCTGTTTAAGTAAATGTTAGTGATGGTATAAAATGAAATACAGTCTTACACTATGTACTAATGTTTTCTTAAAAAAAGTTTTGTAGAAAGAGAAATAGCATAGGTTGCTAATACAGCCAATTCTATAGGAACTAATTTATGTTTTCATAGTGATGGAAAGCACTTTCCATTGAGTTTAAATTATTTTTCAGAACATCCTTTTGATTTGTAAAAAATATTGAGAGATGGGGCTTTTCTTGCATTTTGTCTTCTACAAGTACTAGAAATACAAGACTAGTTTAGCTGAAAAATAATGAATTTAGGTAAGTTCTTAAATTTCAGATGAATTGATGTGATGAAAAGTAGACATTTACATTGTTAGTACTTGTGTGGTGAACAGAGAATTAATTTAGTGTTTGTGGTGGTTTTCTTTGTAGATTTTCATTGTGGGCAGTTCTTTTTGTTTTGGGAAGGCTTCTCACCTTGATTCTCTCGGTCCTCACTTTTGGTTTTGGACTGGCAAGAGCGGAAGATCAGCAGTTGAATTTCAGTACTGGAAACTTTAATATCCTGGCTGTTAGGTATAGTAAACTTGGAATGATTCTTAAGCATGAGCTGTAAACCTGTGTTAAATGCACAATATAAATGGTATGGTATTAATGCTACTAATTCTGAGTGGTTAGATGTTGTCATACAACTGCTGGGATCAATAGGAACAGCTTATGTAACAGACTTGTAAAGCACAGTGAAACAAATTGAAGAATTTACAGTTTATCTGTAAAGGTAAAGTCTTTTTGCCCAGAGCATCTTTAGTCTTGGTTGGAGATTCCTACCTCTTCATCTTTATTACTGCTCCTATTACTACTGTGTGATGCAGTCAACCACTTGGCCTTTTTTTGAATTAAATCCAGAAAAAGAAGTTAAACATCAGCATTACCCTGCAGAATTGATACTCAGAGCTGCAAGACTCTCTTAAATCATATTCAGCTGTTACTCCCTGGTACCTTGAGAGTAATACTGAGAAAAGAGAAAACAGGAAAGAAATCTGATGCTTCCTAGATTTGATGGAGAAGCAAAGACTTGGCTCTCACTGTCTAACTAGTTTTGTTAGCTGTGCTAAGCCCAGTTGCCCTGCGTGAGCTGACTCTTGCATGGCTTAGAAGACGGATATTATTAGGAGAAGGTGGGGGGAAGTCAAACTTTTTACAAATCCACATTATCTAGAAGGAATCATGCTAATATGTTTGAGAAACCTGAGTAAAAAGACAGTTTGTGACATGTAAAAACCTGAAGTGGTGCTCTACTTTTCCTTTCCTCTGAGTAACAAGAGAAACTTACAGGTAAACCTTTACCTGGATTTTGTTTCTAGAATCAGTGTGCTGGCCTCTATCTGCATGACTCAGGCATTTATGATGTGGAAGTTCATTAATTTCCAGCTTCGGAGGTGGAGAGAGCATTCTTCTTCTCAGCCTCAGTCAGTGAAAAAGAAGTTCGTAACAGCTAAAGGAAAGACCTCCAGAAGAGAAAGAGGTCTGTATTTTCGGTTTTCTTGTTACCTTGACTTCTCAAAAACAGCCTTAGGTAACAGATAGCGTTTTTTGTGGGTTTTTTTTTTAATATAATTGCTAAAGAAACATTTTGTTCCACTTGCCAGTGAGATAAGTCAATTACAGAAACAGTATTGGTGAATATTGTCATGGGGAGGTTATTATTTTAAAATTACCATTTTTTTTTTAGTTAATGCAACATTAAATTTTTATTATGTCTAATTTTATTACTTGAGCAAAAGGTCTCATGCTTTCTTTTGTTCCCTCATAAAAAAGGAACAGACACATTTCTAGATCTCATAGTTAATTACTTCTGTATTTTTCTTGCAATTAATTTCAACTTTGATTTTCATTGCTACTAAACTCTAAGATGTTAGGGCAAGGAGATGGTTTGATGATCCAGTAAATAAGTTTATATTGAACTGGTTTTACTAAAAACCGAATTTTGATACTAAGGGGAAGTAATAAAAGCATTTGGAAGTGAACTAATCCCTCCAGGTTTCACTTCTTGATTGTGTCACACTCTTTTTATGGAAGGGGCATGAAAGATTACCTTAATGCCTTTTGCTCCATGGAAAATTATGTGCTCCATTTAAAAAAAAAATAAAATCCACACACTTTAATATTTCTGTTGTATCAACAGTTACATTCTGTGTGTTGATTGCCAGCTTGAATAACTTCTGCACATTTTTGAAACTGCTGGAGTCATTTCAAAAACTAATTTCAGCACAGTTCTTTGCTACCAATCATGTATTGCCCCCCTGTTCTGCTTGTTGAGATATTGAATTTAATGTGTGAAGACCCTTTACACTGAGAACTGAGATTTCTGTCCAGAGATGAAATTAGTGGGGTTTTTTAACGATTCTTTTTTTTACAAAAATTATGGGCTTTAGAGTTTTTTCTGTACTCCCTTCTCATGATTTGTCATTATCACAACTTATCTTTTGTGCATTGTTGGGATGTTTGGTCTTTTTTGTCAGAAAATCTAGTTGGACTTTTGTTATTTTTTATTGTGTTTCTTTGTGTGTTTTTTTTAACTCAGTGAAGGTAGTTTCATATGTAAGTGTCCTACTTAATGAGAGCGTTGTGCTCATTGTGTCTTACTATGACAAATATTTTTAAAGCATAAACTTCAATGGCACTTGTGGTAGCTTTTTTTAATCTCTTCTAAACTGTTTAATTTACGTAATTTGGTGAATTTGCTGATTTTCGCCCAACTTCAGTGGAGACTTGCAAGTGGTAAACGAATAGTGAAAAAGGCAGTCAGCTAGAATGGTGGTTATATTCACAAACTAATTGAGCTATGCAAAGACTGGGGAATTTTACAGCTTATTTTAAATGGAAATAAAATAACTGTAAGGTTAGAGTTGTTTCAGTTTCTTTTCTTTTGAAGATTCCTGAAATGTTACCTGTTCAGAACAATTGCACAGGATGCAGCAAGACTGTTTTTGAAAGAGCAATATAGGCAATTAAACTACTTAAGACATTTTTTTTGTCTTTTTCCTTTTTTTTTTTCTTTATTTTCTTTTTTTGTGGTCAGATGGATTTTGAGGAGCCAGAGTGCAATAAAATATGTTACTTTTAAACTATGCCAAAAGCAAGAAATGACAGTAGAAAAATCCTACTGGTGGTGTAGGTGGGGTATCCAGGCACATGCTGCTTCTTGTTCTTTGTTTTACTTATGCTTGTTTTGACATAACTGTTTAAGAAAATATGGTTTCAATTAGCTGGGATGGATCTAGCTCATTGTTTGTAAGACTCTTAATTCAAAAATAACATGAACTTTTATTAAAAGTATCCAAAGACCATGTTGTGTAGGCATAAGATGATGGTGTCGCTTGCAACCAAATATGTATGGATAGACTTTTACTGTTCCTATGTGACTAATTCGGCCTTTGTCTAGTCTCGTTCTCACGTATGTTTCTGATTTTTATTACTTTCTTTTTGTTGCTGCTTTGCATCAATGGGAGTGTTTGGGTGTAGCAGAGGGGGAGAGAGAGAGACTGGCAGGTTTTGCTGTGGATTGGCCATGCTGTGTGGTGATCTGCAACACGTCTGCAGATGGAAAACATTAATTTAACTAGTTATTTTTTAAAAAAAAAATGCAATGTTTGCTTGAAGTCTTAATGATACTGTTGGGTCAGAGCAGCATTATTAAGCAGCAGGCACTATAGCTTCACTCTGTTAGGCAGCATCTCTGCCTCCTTGAGTTGTGGCGACACTGAATAAAGGGGATACTTTTTAATTCACAGTGGTACCATGTTGCTCCATTTTACTCTTAATTTGCCTGTGCTGTAAATCCATTAATTGTGGGTCATTGTTTTAGGGCAAACTTTTTCTATCAAATAGTTGCTATGATACCTGTACAGATTAGAATTCCTGACACCTTTGAGTCTGCCCAGAAGTGAGATAGAAGTAGAGAGCTGTAGCTGGTAACATGTTCTTGCTTTGCATTCTTAGATGGGTGCCTGGTCCTGTGCTTGAACTCTTTCCATGTACACATACTCATCTCAAATCTGACTAGTGCTTTATTTCTGCCCATCTTATGTATGTATTATCTTCATCAGAACATAAGCTGATTTGGTGTCTTGAAGTATATGCTTAAAAAATTATGTGTTATCTAAAGATTTCCTGTATCTATGAAAAAGCTTGTAAAGGTGAGTGAAGGAGTTCTAACTTAAGCAAGAATTAAAATATTAAATAAATGTGATCAGCAATAGAGACCTATACCAAGGAACTGTGTATATACTGTGTCTTCAGAATTTTGCAGGACAGTCTTATCCCCAGGCTATTTTAAGATAACATCGTCTAAAATATTTTAGCTGGTCTTGATTTTCAGTCTGAATATGTATAATGCACACGTTTCAGTGTCTGACCGTGTCAGGAAACCAGGCTTTAATCAATGTAAGCGTTTATTTTTGCATTTCGTAAAAAAACTTCTGTACTGTTGCATTATGGATGATAGGATGAGGTTTAACAAAGAAGATACATTAGAAAAGAAGTTAGAAAATTGTGTAAGGCCTACAAAATTGTAATAAAACTTAAAATGTCTCATTGTATTTGAAAATTGTTTTCTTATTTTTTTCTAGAAAATGGAATAAATGGAACAGTGACCTCAAATGGAGCAGACTCGCCTCGTAGCAGGAAGGATAAATCCTCGTAAAACAGGGTTTTATTAAGTTAATTGACTAATTGTCCCCAAAGAATCTGCTTTTTACATGGATGGCCCTTCAGCACTAGAGATGTTATGGATTAAAGAAAATACAATTCATGTTTTTTGATTATTGCTGTTGTTTTGAGAAACTTTTTTTAAAAGCCATTTTGACTAAGGAAAAAGGTTTATCTGTCTTCAAATACTTGGGGGGGAGGAATACAACACTTTTTAAATAACATTGACACTTTTTTAAACATTTATTGTGATGAAATAACTTCACTTAATGAGGATCACTACTGCAGTGTATTATTTCCTTCCAATTTTTGTAATCTTGGTAATATATACTGTTTTACCAACTTCACTTTTTCCAAGTTCTTCAAGAAGTGTTGCAAAATTGAAGTAAAAACTTCATATGCATTTTCAGAATCTCTTGCTTTTCAGTTAATTACCTTAATTCAAATTCACAGTTGAAATTGAGATTCCAAGACCACATCCTTAAACCTCTTTATTTTGTAGTTGCCAGCTACACAATGCCTGCGCTAAGAATTGCCCCATATCATTAAACAAAGCTGAACTAATTGGAAATGTCACAGAGTCTTATTGTTTGTGGGTTAGAAATCTCTTAGAGGGAAGAAAAACCTTTCTGAGATATAGCTTTAGCACTTGAAAATTAGAAGGGAGTGTGTATGGTCGTAGAGGTGATTTGAATAGCACTGTTAACTCCTGTCTGTGTTTTTAAAGTGTACATATCTTGGAGAATTAGTGTGCGTTGGACCTTCTCGGAAAACTTACCTGATTTTAGAAAGGGGAGGTTCTTAGAATGTGTCATTGTGGTGGTTTTAGGATGCATTTAATGCTCCTTGAAGAGGGATTTTGTTAAATAAATTGATCAAGTTATAAGAAACATTCCTTTATTCTAACTGCTTTGCTTTGTTTCACCCCTGTTAGGAAATAGTTTGATTTCTCCTATATATATTTTTATGAAAAAATATTTAAAAGCTACAACTTCTTAAAATTGATCTGTTTTGCCCTTTGCTACAACTGGAAGAATCTTTATTTAAGATTTTTTTCCATTCTCTATTTTTCATAATTATATTAAATGTGAAGCTTTGTCCAGTTAATTTTCCAATTTATTATGCAGTTGATGTTTCCTCTGTACCCTTTTGAATGGGCATAATTCAGCCCGTTTCACTTGAGAGAATGAGTTAGAGAGATTTGATTCAGTCTTAAGTTGCTAAATTAGTCTTACAGGTTCACCTGAGTATTCAGCTGCTTGTGATTGAGAGGAATAATTATGAGCAATCAAGCTGCTAAATCAGGTAGCTTTAATTAAAAACTGTTACTGTAGTTGAGTTTATACCCAAGAAAATAATAAATCTGCATTCTGTATCTTCTATAGCTCAGTTGCTTACTATACAGAATAAATGTTTGTAGTACAAAATCTTGATAGCCAGTAACTATCCATTCTTCAATCACTTAGTGCTCTTTAGAGTTACTGCAGTATAATTTATGATATGTTTCTGATAATTTTGGTTACAGTTCCCAAGTACTTGCTTCACAGCTTCTGAAGTGGACTTGACAGACTTGGATCTGCTTAACTCGAGTATGGTGGGGCAGCACATCCTGTAACATGCCCAGTCTGCTCCACTGGAAGTAGTTGTACCATATCCTGATTGGAAGAAATAAAATTCAAGCAGTGAAACTGTGAACCTGTCTGATCTGACCACGCAACTGGAAAAATTGGGACTCAAATTGTGAGGGAATTGCATACATTAAATAACTCGCTGCACAATATCATGTTTGATGTTTGTTGTTTCTAAGAAGACCTTCATAGATTCTGTGTGCCTTGCTCTGAAGTTGTACCAAAAGGGGCAAATTTTTATAGTGTGGTGCTTTGACTCTAAATCAGTTTGCTTGTGATATCTGGTTGTCATGGAGCTGTGAGAATCATCGAAGGTGGAGGAATAAATTCTGAAGGGAGCACATAAGGTACTTCTTGAGATCTTTATGACTTACTGGAGTCTGAGGGTTGTAATAGCTGTTTCACTAAGGCAAACTGGTACTTGTAAACCTCTTTTTTTGGCACTACTGTGTCTTGAAATGTCAGCTTCAGGTTCACTTCCATAAACTTCAAAAGAGCATATTCTTGCCTGTTAATTCTGATGTTACTTTTTGGCCTTACAGACGTTCTTGGCCTTTGGACTTGGAAAAAAGCACTTTTGACTCCACAATGGCTTAATCTTCATCCTTGCCTTACAGGAGTTTTTGCTTTCTGCACAGTAACAGAATAATTTCAGTTGATCTAGAACTTGGATAGAGTTTTGAAAGGCAGTTTCTTTTCTCTCTTGTTTCATAACTAAAAATACTTATCACTTCGAGGCAGAAGCAATAATGTTTAATTTTCTACCTTGGGGTGGAAACCCCCATGAATTTAAAAGATTTTGAGACTTCTGTTTCCAGTTTGATATTACTACTTTTGGCATATGATAATTGTTTGCTTGGATAAATTCTTTTGAATAGCTTAAACTGGATTTTCAAATGTTGTTGTATTTTGGCATTTTGTTTGTAATCTAGGATTCGGTAAGATGGAAGATTAGTTGTCTAATCATGTTTTCTTAATTATAAAGTCAGGACAATTAGAAATTGAAATGACTGTAGAGCTCATTATTATATTCCTATGCCTAATAAAAGATTTTTTGCTTAGGCTGTAGTAATTTAACCTGGTCAGTTACCAGGTCACGTAAAGAGAAGACTTTGTCCATGTAGATGAATTTGAGTCAAGTAATTCACATAGAGGCTGCAGGTAGAGTTTGGGGTTTGTTGTTGTTTGTTTGGGTTTTTTTCTTAAACCTCCTCTACCTCATCTTGTCAGAACTTTCAAGACTTAGAACAAATCATTTCAAGCCTTTCCCCCTTCGCCCAACCATATGTTTGCTTTATGAGCCAGAATCCACTCTTGAAGCCAGCATTTCACTTTTAGTAAAAGTAAATATGTGTAACTTCAAAGTACAAACAAGGAATGCAGAACAGCTGAAATTGCTTTTCACATTTTTTGCTTTCATCTTGATACTTTCTCCTCTTGACTAGTTGCAAAGGTTGATTTCTCCTGTGCTAATTATTCATGAACGTGGCTTTTTGGAAATGCTGCACTTCAGGTGAATGCCATGCCCAGACTTAGCAATGGTCAAGGGATTTGCCTTGCAGAGAAAATGCGTAGGCTATTTCTGCTCACATTAGAGTATATATGTAAATATTTCTGTGTAAGCAAGAAGAAAAGGTGAAGGAAGAAGGTGAGTCAAGCTCTTAAGGCCACTGCCCCTTTCAGCTGCGTGTTTGGTTAAAAGTTGTGCTGGGTTACAGTATCATATCAGTTCGAGATCTCGTTGAAAGGCTTCCAGCCATCAGTACCAGAAGGGAACTGGTCTCTGGTAGCCTCTACATGCCAAACTGTTTTAAGTTTTGATGGATTTTTGTCAGATACTGTGAAGGAAGAAGAAATATTCAATATGCTGTACTGTACCGAAGTATATCATAGCTTTGAGGTTTCCAAGCAGTGCAGGGTGATAACTGGTGGTGTAGAACTAGGATTCTGAAAATGTAGTTTCTCTTAGATTTAAAAAAAAAAAAAAGGGGGGGATACCTAACAGCCAGGAAGCTACAGCTTCTTTTTTGGGGTGGGGGGGATTTTTTTTCTACACATTTATTTGTGTATTGCAGTAGGTCTTCCAGGGAACTTTACAAGAATTATGCTCTATGCTTGACTATGTACATGGAGGGGAGAGTTTTCTGGCTTGTCTGTCTTTGTTTTGCTGAAATTCACCAGCTGATTCCTAGGTCATACTTGGGTTTGGTTCCATTTGTGACTCAACCCTTTGGGCCAGTGTTGTGAAACACGGAGACCGACAGCTTCAATAGGTTCCCTGTACAGTGCTGGTCATTGATGTCCTAATTCTTCTCTGTGAAAAATGTCAGTATTGAAGGGACTCATATATGAAGTAGAGGTGGTCGTGATGTTTGAAACGTTTAGAGGACGGCAAGGGCCTGTGTATGGGGAGGCCACATCCTGAAGGACTATGGTTCGATGCCTGGAGGCTGTAGTAATAGCCATCATGACATGGAAGTACTTGAGTTAGTTCTTGCGCAGGGCATAGGAATGTCTTATAAAATTCAAGCTTAGGGAAAATTTAGGAGGTGCTTTGAAACAGGTAAGACTGGTGTCAGTTACCTGTTACGTTATATTTGAATTAGCCCATGCTTGGTTGTTGGAGTTGGGGTTTTTTTTATACTGTAAAGTTGTTGTGGTGGGTGTCTGGTGAGTATTCCCTAATCTGAACTACTCAGTTCAGGGCCCAATGAGCCTGATTCCATATGCATTAAGGATTTTGGCTTGCTCTTTGGGACTAACACAGAAGCAGTGCCGGAATATTTCAGTATCGGGCATGCAAGAAATAAACACATCAGTGTGTCGGGTGTCATCAGAACCCACTTAATGGGAACCGCAGCTCTTTAGGATGAGTGTGTTACGATACAAATTGAATTGCAGCGTAGGGTTTGGATGGAGCTCACGTCTAGGTGGGAAGTGCCTCTTGTGGGTGCAGCAAGACTGCTGTTGGCATCTACAGCTATCAGTTCCCCTTCTGCCAACAGCGGGTGAGGAGCACTGAGCTGCGGCTGCTTGTAGGCTTCTTTCTGCCTTTTAGAGAAGGTCTTTTGATGTTGTTGCTCTTGATCTCTTTCTATGTGTCCTGTCACTTTTATTTTAGGTTTCCACAAATACTTTTATTTTTATCCAGCTCAAGGTTGGCAAATCTGTTATGTGTGTGCCAGAAATGACAACTCTCTCTTCTTCTTGCGTTTGAAACTTTTTGCAGAATCAGAGCAGGTGAAGTGTAGCTTTTATACTTCGATAGCTTTTCAGCATTCATTCTTTGTCCTTATTTATTGTGATTTAACATTGCAGGTCAGGCATTGTCATGCAGCACAACACAGTTGTTAGTTCTTTGTTCCACAGGCAAGAGTATTACACAATTGGATACAATGAAGCAGAAAAATATATTACTAAGTCTTGACCGGTTTAGCAGAAACTGGTATTCCTGGATGGTTTTGCTATTTTTGCCTTTCTCATTTAGGAAACTGGGCACTTAAGATCTCTGAATCTCTAGACTGTAGTTTTGCTGTATATCACTTGACAAATTATGGTCTAGAACTTGAGCTTTGTGTTTCCTTATATCGATTTTAAATGTTGAAGAATGTATCTTGCATTGTAATTAACAGCTTAAAATTCACCCCATGGTGATAAAAATACTGTAACAGGGTAGGAATTTCAACTCTTGAATTCCAGACTAGAAGCCAAGCCAAGACTATCCTGTGTTCTCACCTAGGTGATTCCTCCTCTTTGTTTCTTGATTAATCATTATCTTTGTTCTGTTTATTTAGATTGTAAATTCTTTGTGGCGAGGTTTGTCTTTGTGTGTGTGCGTGTGTGTGTGCGCGCGCGCGTGTGTGTACCCGGGGCAGTTAGGCCGGAGCCCTGGTCTGTGGAAGCTGTAATAAGCAATCACCTTGTTATCGTTTTC